GGAGGGAGGATATGAATGTGTGTGTGTTTTGCCTGTATGTATGTTTGTGTACTTCATGCATGCAGTGCCCAAGGAGGCCAGAAGAGGGTTACAGATGGTTGTCAGCCACCATGAGGATGCTGGGAATTGAACCCTGGTTTTCTGAAAGAGCATTAAGTGCCCTTAACTGCTAAGCCAACTCCTCCAGCCTTGGAATCATATTTTAAAAATATATCTCTAAAGATAACTTTGACTCTTGAGAGGAGATATACGAATCTTTATGGCACAAAGGGTATTTTTAGTGTGGTCAGTATTTAGTGACAGAGTCAGTGGGTTTTTGAGAGTTATGTCATGGCACAGAATACAAGCTTGCTTTCACAATGGACTGGAACCATCTCCCCTTACAGTACACACTGCTTGGAATTTTTACATGAATTGGAAAAGGAACTGGAGTTTTCTGGTTAGGATGTTAAATAAACAGGGGCCTATAGGTGTTTGGGCCTCAACCAAAAGTTTTATACATAGAAAAACGGGAAATACAGGTATATGTGTCAAAATGGCCTGTCAACTGGAAGATTAAGTCCGTGCTTACAGTCCATTGTTCTTACAGACCTGCTGTCGGGGTGAGTGCTATGGCTGCTGGTCACTTTGCTCGGTGTTGATTCCCTGCATTATTGGGCCCGTCTTATTTCTGAAGCTGCTGAGGAGAACCTAGCATGAGTGGACAGGATGGAGTAGCAGGGATACCGTACCATGGGAGAGGCTTTCCTCTGAGACTTTTACATTAGGAAAGAAGTTTGTGAGAAGCCTACTGTGACAGTAGGCATGGGTTCTCCGTTGTTTTTTCAACCCACACTAGGAAATACAGGATCGAGTCATAACTAGTTAGTTGTCATGGAAGAAAACAACGGTGCCATAATTTCAATAAGTGTAAGGTGATGATTTTAGAGCCCTTCATCCCACCACAACTGAGGAAGGCTTTTCAAAGGACACTGCCCCAGACTTTTCTAAATCAGCTAGTGTCTGTTTAGGTAACTGTGTCAGAGACAGAGCCCAGTGGAGATGCCCTGAGGACCTTAGGGGTTACAATGCAAAGCCTGCCCTGGGGCTGGTCATTTAAGCTTAGAGGGTGCTGGGATCGGTGAGCCAGTACAGCCCAGCCCCTCTGTCAGCCTCTCTGCTCAGGAAGCTGTGGATCTGAGCTGTGACCTTGGTATTTGGTCCCGTTGCTGCAAGTGTCTCTAACCCTCCCCCCTTTTGCACAGGTGCCTGAAATCATCAGCTCCATCCGGCAGGCGGGGAAGATTGCCAGGCAGGAAGAGCTGCGTTGCCCCTCCGAGTTCGACGACACCTTCGCCAAAAAGTTCGAGGTGCTCTTCTGTGGCCGGGTCACTGTGGCCCACAAGAAGGCACCACCTGCACTGATCGATGAGTGTATCGAGAAGTTCAACCACGTGAGCTGTGGTCGCAGAACAGACTGGGATGCGCCCACGGGGCAGCCATCAGCACCTGGCGCCCGGCCCATGCGCAAATCCTATTCACAGCCTGGACTGCGCTCGCTGGCCTTCAAGAAGGAGTTCCAGGATGCCAGCCTTCGCAGTAGCACCTTTAGCTCCTTCGACAGCGACATCGAGAACCACCTAATTGGTGGGCACAATGTGGTTCAGCCCACAGACATGGAGGAGAACCGAACTATGCTGTTCACGGTAAAATCTCTGTCAGTTTTTGCAGCTTGAGGTTCAAAAAATCTGTCTTACACATCTGTGTTTGTAAATATCCTTTCGTTGCAGAAAGAATAGCAATATAAAAGAGGTTTAAGAGGGATTTTAAGTAATATGTTTCAACACAATTTTAAGTGGAAAATATTAATTTATAAACACCCTTTGTTAATCAAGGTAACAGGATTTTTAAAAAAATAACCTGATATTTAAAACTTATGCCCCAACTAAAATTCTAGATTAGTTTCTTGGTTTTTGTTGTTCATTTGTTTGGTTTTTTTAAACAGAAAATTGTTAAAATGATAGTCATGGAAGAGAAGGAATGGATAAGGTAGCCAGCTATGGAGTTACATGTTGGCTTGGGTTTTTCTGGATGGATGATCTTCCTGTGTCATGTGAATTGACAGGACTCTGCCCTTTCCTGGTCTGTGGCCTTTTCCCTGGTGTATTTCGTTCTGCCTCTTCTTTGCTTTAATACTGGTAGCGAGCAACTGCCTTAGATGTAGTGTAGCCTTTTTGTGCTTAACCCGAGGCAATGAAATGGCCAAGGAGTAAGGAAGCTGGCACATAGGTTATGTGCTGTGGATATAGCTGGCAGATTTAAAAATGCAGGTAACAGATCTGGAGCGATGGCTCAGCCCCTCGGAGCACACACTGCCTTATGTGCCCTTAAGGGAAGGAGGGAAGGAGAAGGGACGATGTGGGAAGGAGCCGCACTGCAGAGTCCTGAAGAACTGCTCCTTTGTTTTGCCGGCAGCCCCTCAGTTGTCCTGGCTTTGCTTCCTTCCTTCCTATCTCTCCTGAGGTACAGATGTGTCATGGGAAGCAGTCACGTTGTTAAAGAGACCAATAGCAGCCTCTCAGTCCCGGCTCTAAACTTAATTACAAGTAAACAAGTAAAGAACTTTGTGTTCCATGTGATCCCTGGAATTTCAGTCTCCCTGAGGCTGGAGACCTCTGTCTGTTGTTCACCATAGGCCATAGTCACCAGGCCTAGAGTGTGGTGTCCCTGGGTTCTCGGGTAGATCCTTAATGAGAAGGCCAGGAGACGACAGAAATTGGGAAGGTGAGTGAGGATGGGTCCAGGGTAAGTCAGGCTCCATGATTCACAACCTTACAGGTCACGTTCAGGATTTTGTTTTTAGTCAAAAAACTGGACAGACATTGAAAGATTTTAAGTATAGCATTAAATAGCTTTGCCTATAGAGAAATACTTAGGAAAGGAAACAGAGGGCTAAGAAGCCATTACCTTAGTGTAGGTGACAGGTAGGGAGCTTAGAGTACAACGACAGTAGGGATGAAGAGAGTTGGACAGAGGTGCACGGCCTCAGGCAGGCAGGGATGCATGGCTTCAGGGGTCAAGCTGACACAGGACAGAGTGGTGGACTGGATATGAGAAGACCCCCAGGCTCACGTCTGACTTTAAATTCTCACCGGTTCCTTATAGCCTAGCCACATCCAAGTAAGAATGCAACTCAGCTGAGAGAGTTTCCAAGATTTTTAAAAAAATAATGATTATCTTCATTGTATAGATGAAAACAGAAGGCTGCTGAGATGAAATATACAAAATGTGGAGATGCAGCTACTGCTGTCGAGTAAGGGAGATCCTGAGTGGGTGTCTCCTTAGGAAAACCCAGAGTCTGGGCCGCTCGAGAAGTGTGCTGCTGTTTCTGTAATGGTGGTTACTACGCTTGAGTTCTGTGCACCTTGTCAGTCCCGCTTGCCTGAAGGATACTTCAGAAATGCTAAGGACAAAACTGCTCTGTGTACAAACGTACAGTCTGAACCACAGAATGCATGGTTTGGACCTCTTCATTAAGGTGCCGTTACTTTTGACTTACACCTCTGTCTCCAAAGCTGACTGCTCTGACTTGTTGTCCAGATCAAAGTATAACAAACTTGGAAGAGAAACAGGGCAGTGCTGGCACATGCCTTTAATCCCAGCACTTGGGAGGCAGAGGCAGGCAGATTTCTGAGTTTGAGGCCAGCCTGGTCTACAGAGTGAGTTCCAGGACAGTCAGGGCTATACAGAGAAACTCTGGGAAAAAAAAAAAACAAATAACAAAACAAAACAAACTTGGAAGAGAGGCTTGAGAGTTACGAGTGTGCTGAGGATGTGGCTGCTAACTTGTGGATCCCGAGGAGGGATTGAATCTGTGGAAACCAACACACAGGGAGGGAGAATGTCACCGTGTGGAGGCAGAGGGCAGGCAGCCCTCACAGCCAGCCAGGCAGCCCAGCACTCAGCTGCCGTAGGTGTTTTGGAGATTTTAAATAGGAACTATTGTTTTCTGGAATATTCACTTGTATAGAAAACTATATATGAAGGGGGTGGGGGCTTTGAGGGTTATTTGAGGATTATTATTATTGTTTAGCTTCTGTCATCTTTTCCTCTGAGAATACTGATGTAGGTGTTTATCCACTGTCACTTGGAATCCATGGCATAAACTGTAACCTTTGAAACTTTTTAATGGTGATATAGTTGGAATTTTATAAGAGCTTGCCACTTTCCTCTGTTTCCTCAAAGGTTACAACATGTACAATGAATTTGGTTTTTAGGAGAACCACATGCTTTCTTTTTGTTTGTTTCTTTAAGATTGGCCAGTCTGAAGTTTACCTCATCAGTCCTGACACCAAAAAGATTGCACTGGAGAAAAATTTTAAGGAGATATCCTTTTGCTCTCAGGTAAATTCACACAGATTATTGATTTAATTTCAGTTCTTCTGATGTATGCAGTAGACAATGCTGTTGTATAAAAAAAAGGCATGTTTTTAATGCTTGTTTGGTGGTCTCTTTCTCCTGCAGTGTACTAAGGCAAATTATAATCTTGAAATTAACAATTTTGCTTTTTGGAGCATGTACTGGAGAAAATAGGTCTACCTTTCATTCTTTTCCCTGTTATTGGTACTAATGCTTTCTAGCTATTTCCGGAGGCTTATATGTGTGTGCATGTTTTATTTATAATTGGTATGCATGTGTATGCCCATGTTTTATATATAATTGGTATATGTGTGTGCACATGACTTATACATAATTATGTATGTGCATTTTATATATAAATTGTAGAGACATATTTCTACTTTCTTGAAATTCTTTTTTTTAATGTTGTCATTATATTTTCTATAGACTATGAGAGATGATACTTATCTTTCAGGAGGTTTTTTTACCCAGAATGCAGTGTCTACTTGAAACTCTCTGTGTTTGATAGTTAAGTCTTCCAGCTGTGCTTCATAGACAGATGTGGGAGGAATCTGTCAACTGTGACAAGCCAGTTTTCTCCAGATTATCCCGGCAAATAAAATACCACTTACATTACTGTTTGGTGACTTACTTTTTTCTTAAACTCTAACTTTTCATCTCTGTAATATGATGTAAAAATCTTGGTTGTTTGTTAATCTAAAATGTAAGCTAGTTAAGTCATCAAAAAGATAATACTTACAATTATGAAAATAAGTAACGTCCTTAACAAGTTGAATAGGGAAGCCTTTTCAAAGAAGGTACTTTGATACATGAGATTCCCCCGTGTAGCAGCCTCTATTATTGCTTAGTTTGTTGATGGAGGACGCTGATTGAGATCAGGATATATTACTGACTGGGGATGCTTGCCTGAAAGTGATGTTATTCACAGAATCTTGATTTGCTCCTAATTATATAGATATCTTCTTTTTTTTTCTTTCATTTTTTTCTTCTTCTCCTTCTATTTTTTTTTTGTTTGTTTTTTAGATAAAGTCTCCCTGTGCAGCCCATGCTGTCCTGGAACTTACTATGTAGTCATTCTGGTCTCTGAACTCATAGAGATACTCTGTCTGCCTCTGCCCCCTGCTCCCACCCTGAATGCTGGGATTAGAGCTGTGGACCATTGCACTGGGAGATCTTTGCTTTTTTAGAGCAGTGTGGTGGTTTATTCGTCCCTAAAGAAGTGAGGTTCATCAGATCATCTCAGCACCCATGTTTCTGCATAGTGATATTTTCAGAAGGCATTGATAGTCACAGAAGATGCTTCATTTGTATTTAAGTTGCTCTTTTAGTTTCCTTTCCTGATACCCTGCCAAATCAACTTAAAGCTTTTATTCTCTGTACAGTTCTGTGGCAGTTGGTGACAGTGGGGGGAGTCACTAGACATGTGCATGCAGGTGCTCAGCTTCCTATCTCTTTTTTGTTCAGTCCAGGGTGTGGCCATGTGCCATCCGTGTTCATCGTGGGTCTACTCAGCTCAAGTGATGTAATAAAATAATCCCCACAGATACATCTCAGAGGCCCTTCTCCCAGGTGATTCTAGGTCATCTCAAGTTGACAATGAAAACTAAACGTTGGTGCTAGAGCTATGGCTTACTGTTGAAGAGCACTTATTGCTTTGCTGAGGACCCGGGTTTGATTCCCAGCACTCACATGGTGGCTTATAACCGCTTCTCATTCCACTTCGATGTCCACGGGCACCAGGCCTGCACACAGTACACATGCATACATAGAGGCAAAACACATTAAATAAGCCTAAAAATTCAAGAGACCCACCACAGTTGCTTCTGGTAGATTTGTGAGGCAGCAACCAAGGCTATCTCTCAGCGTCTGTTCCTTGCTGGTTTTAGGTCAAGTTTGTGTGTTAGGAAGAGCTTGTGGGACATTGGCAGAGTCCTGGCCTTCATTTCAAAGCTGTCAAAGGTGCTAGACATATAAGTCGTTTTTTGCTCATTCTTCATGCAGTTGCATTTAGTATTTGCTTGTAATTTTAGTATAAATACATTTTGATTTCTTTTTAACCTTTATATATGTGAATTGTGTGTACTATGTCTTAGTTGTGAATGTTTGTTAATCTCTTGTGTGCTGTTGATTTTTATTTTAGTGTTTACTCCTTAGTGTTCCTCCTGTACCACATCCCCAAAGTTGTAGTTTTTCTGCTAGCTACTCTGCTTATCTTTTAGTCCTAATGTGAGCGTTAGGACTTGAGTTTGTAAACCTTGACTCTCAGTGTGATCAAAGTGACGTTTCACTCTGATGCTAATCTCCATTTGAAAATATGTGGTCAGTACTCTGTAGTGTGTAAATGGGCAGCGTCACCATGGAGCTGTCTTCAGCCAGCAGTGCTCAGTACAACTTAACCCCTTCTCCTTGCACAGGGCATCAGGCATGTGGACCACTTTGGATTTATCTGCCGGGAGTGCTCGGGCGGCGGCAGCGGCGGCTTTCATTTTGTCTGTTACGTGTTCCAGTGCACAAATGAAGCTCTGGTAAGAGGACACCACTGCCCACTGCAAACCTTGTGAGCAATTTCAGCCCTTCTGAGTCTTCAGGGCTGAGCAGAGCTGTAGAGCCTTGCTGACAGAGCAGTATTTGCTTTAATTATTCACTCGTGACTAATACCTTTCTGCTATGCATCTGAGACTCACTTGCATTTTCATTTTAAATTTTAATATTTTTGAAAGATATGCTTGTTTTCACCCTCTGCTCTAATGCAGCATTGAGAGTCAGTTCTGATGCATTCATTTCACCCAAGCGTGGTAGCCCTGTTCTTATAAGTTCCAGTACATTGGCTGGGGGCAGGAAAACTGGAAGCTTCAGAGCTGTACAGCAAGTTCATGACTCTCTGAGCCATGGTATGGTTCGGGGGCGGTGGGGGGGGAAGGTATAAAAAGAATCCCTGTGGACTCTGGACCAGAGGCACTTGCTTTGTACTTCGTAATAGTGTTCTTACCTTGTACCTCACCTGCTTTAAGAGTGCTGACTCTAAAGTAGTCATTCTCAGACTACAGAGAACAACCCTAGCAATTATTTCCACTATCTCCTGTTAGTCTGTGAAAAATAGCCCAGAAAAAAAGAATGACGATACAAAGTCTGTCGCATGAACTTGCCGGCCCCGTCAGTCTGCCCCGCTGCCTTGCTGTTGACACTTGGCTCCTCCGTGCAGGTTGACGAAATCATGATGACCCTGAAGCAGGCTTTCACGGTAGCTGCGGTGCAGCAGACTGCCAAGGCGCCGGCCCAGCTGTGTGAGGGCTGCCCCTTGCAGGGCCTGCACAAGCTCTGTGAGAGGATAGAGGGTGAGTAGGAGGCGCTTCGAGCTTTGTAGCCCCTACACCTTGGGTGGGAGTGCTTGCGGCTCTATTCTGTAGGGCCACGTCAGAGGGATCATAGGTGACTACATCGTGCAGGGGATGTGTTCTGTTATGACAAGATTTTTTCCTGGGCATGATGAATCCAAAGCTAAGGACCCACATCCTCTTGCCATCTCTCCAACGCACCCTGAGAGTAGTAGAGAGGTTAGGGGATAAATGGTGTCAAACATTTCCTGAGCTGTGTGAGACTGCTGGGTCTTTCAGATTGGTGAAATGAGACAGAGAGAAGGTTACCGTGTTTTCCAGTAGAGTATCACCTGCAATCCCTGCCAGGGCAGAGTTGATGGAGGAGAGGAGAAAACAGGTTCCAACTGAGGAGTGAACAGGAGGAAATAAAAACCAAAACCCAAAACTCATGGTGACCATCTTAACTTCAGTATCTAGACGCTTACGATGACATGTCACCATTTGCAGGATTTATTTGAGAATATGAGTTACTATTTGATAGTCAGACTTTCTATCTAGGGGTATGGTTTTTGAGATTGCCACATGATTTAAATTATCCAATTGTAGAAACAAAGACATGATCATCTTGTGTATCTAGAATCTTGTTACAAACTATAATTCTGTAAAGAAAAACTATATTGACATTTAGACCTAGTTTCTTTTTTTCCTAAGTAATTGTGGGAAACAGTGCTAAGATGTATTTAAAAGATACTATCAATTTTATCATCATGTTTGGAAGAAAAAGTGAATTACTTATAATTTTATAAATAAGATGAGAGATTAGAGCCATCTAGGGCTAAACTAGGGTATAGCAAGCCCAGGATCCACTGTCTAACTACCAGGCAGGATCTACCTGCAGCCTACCTACCCCCTCAAAAACGAGGAAGGAGCCCTCTTGAGTGAGAACCATTCTGGCAAGAGTGAAGTCGGTCCTGTTCACCAGGGTGGGGCAGAAGATAGGGTGGGGCTGAGGGGTCAGTACTCCTTTGGAGGAATCTGGAAAGAGGTATTGTGTACTTTTTTCTTCACTTTTCGACTAGTTCTATCTATAGGAAGATTTCTAAACTTTTTTGTAGGTGTATGGTTTTTGAGATTGCCATATGATTTAAATTATCCAATTATAGAAACAAAGGCATGATCATTTCATATATATCTAGAATACTTGTCACAAACTATAATTTTATAAAGAATAACTATATTGACATTTAGACCTAGTTTCTTTTTTTCTAATTGTGGGAAAAAATATACCCAGATATACAACGTATATTTTTTTTATTTTTTAAAGAATCTGGTTTAGTGGAGTTGTGTGCATTCACAGTATGAGTAACTTCCCCCCCCCCCCCCCCCTCACCTTTCAACTTCCTGAGTCACAGCTCACTCACTAGTCTCTCCCCCTTGTAACTTTCCCACAGCCCCAGGCAGCTACCATTCTACTTTGTGTTTTCCTGTGTGTGTGTGGGGGGGGGAGGGTAATTCGTGGTGTTTGAATGTATACATATGTGTGCCTGTGCGTGCAGAAGCCAGAGCAGGGACATGGGTGTTTTCCTCTGTCCTTCTCTGCCTTGTTGACTTTAGACAGGATTTCTCACTGAACCAGGGCTGATTTTGGCTGGATTAGTCTAGCTGGTAAGTGCTGAGGGTCTATTTGTCTCTGTTCCCGGTGCAGGAGTTACAGGCTCAAGCAGCATGCCCTGCTTTGAATGCAGATTCACTTGCTTGCACAAGTCTCTTACCACTGAGCTCTCCTCCTTTCTGATTCTACAAATTGAGTTAATCTAGGTACCTTATATAGTGGAACCAGCAGGATTTGTTTTCTTGGTTTTGGTTTCTTTCACTTAGCATTATATCTTCTGGGTTTACTCATTTTGTACATATCAGAATCCTGTTTCTTTGTTTGGCTGGATAATATTCCACCAACTGATTCATTTATTCACCACTGGACATTCAGGTTCTTTTTGCCTTTTACTGTGTGAGCAGTAGTGCTGAGAATTTTGGTATACACACATCTGTTCAGGTTTCTGCTTTCTGTTCTTTTGGGTAAGTGAGTTTGCTACTTCATATGGTGAGCGTCCTCCTTAGGGTTTCTGTTGCTGTAGTCAAACACCATGACCAAAGCAGTTTGGAGAGGAAAGGGTTTATTTGGCTTATACTTCTACATCATAGTTAATCACCGAAGAAAGCCAAGACATGAAATCAAACAGGGCAGGAGCCTGGAGGCAGAAGGTGATATAGAAGCCATGGAGAGGTGCTGTTTACAGGCTTGCAGTCTATGGCTTGCTCAGCCTGCTTTCTTATAGAACCCATGACGACCAGCCCAGGGATAGCACCACCACCAATGGGCTACTCAATCACTAATTAAGAAAATACCCTACAGGCTTGCATATAGCCCAATCTTATGGAGACATTTTCTCAAAGTTCCCTCCTTTAAGACAACTCTTGCTTCTGTCAAGTTGATATAAAACTGGCCACACAGTGACTGTTTAACTTTCAAGCCGCCTTGTACTGTCCTATAATAATTATATTCCCATTATTCACAGACCTTAACTTCTCTGCATCCTTACACAAATGAGTTTTATAATAGTAGATGTCCCAGTAGGTATGGAATGTTACCTGGTTTATTTATTTATTTATTTATTTTTGATGAGATAAATTAATATCAGCATCATAAAGTCTGAAAAGGTCCACTTTGGTCATTACAGTGTTCTTGAAACAAGCATGATTTATTTTTTAAAAAATGTTCATGTCATTACTATTTGCTGACAGCATATAAACTATATCTGGAATGAGAGTTTTGCTTTAACAAGAGATCCCAACTGAGAGGCTTGCTAGCTCTTTCGAGCCAAGCTGTCAAGATAAGGCAAATGATGGTAGAAATGCCCCTAAGGGCCTATTAAGCCAGCAGTGACTTCGGCCTTACAGGCAGAGGGGATCTCGATCTGCAGAGCTGGCTGCCTCTGAGTTCCACCTGGTAAATCTGTTGGGCCTGAGCGTTCAGAAAGTCACAGCTGGAAGTTTTATTCGGAATCAGGAGTTTGCTGTTGTCATTTGGAGAAAAATCATTCAATTCTCTTTTACATGATAAAAATCTAACCATGGCAGAAAATTGTACAGCTATAGAGAACATCCATTAAATATTAAACAGAGCCATGAGGCGTCTGGGGAGCATGTGTTTAACTCACTGTGTGGGAAGCATTTTTAAAGGAATAGATGGTGAGTTATGAGAGGCCACCTTAAGCCGGGCGGTGGTGGCGCACGCCTTTAATCCCAGCACTTGGGAGGCAGAGGCAGGCGGATTTCTGAGTTCGAGAGTTTGAGGCCAGCCTGGTCTACAGAGTGAGTTCCAGGACAGCCAGAACTACACAGAGAAACCCTGTCTCGAAAGAAACAAAAAAAAAAAGAAAGAAAGAAAGAAAGAAAGAAAGAAAGAAAGAAAGAAAGGCCACCTTGGAAGAAGACCAGATTTTGGGCCCTTTGATTTTTATGGCTGCAAGTCCAGTAAATAGAATGAAATGATTTCTCAGAAGCCATTGACTATTACTGTAAGGGTGGTCTTGGGTGTGGACGTATCTCAGTGGTAGAATACTGACCTAGCATGTATGAGGTCCTAGGTTCCAGGCCAACAACTCTTACCAAGCATCTTGTCATTGCCAGTTGAGCATCTCTAATCCTGAAATCGAAAAGACTCCAAAATCCAGCAAGGCTGTGACTCAGAAAGTTCGATCCCAAAGTTATGCTCTGACCAAGCACTCCACAAACTATAGGAAGGACCCGTAACATGACCATAAGAAGACTTATAGAATGTTTTCTTAATCAGTTGATGTAGTTGAGGTTTGCCCCAGAATGTATAAAATAGGAGAAATTTATGTGTATTTATTATACATACACAAGTGATGTATATGTGGGTGTACCACATACTCAGGGCTAACATGCCTGTACAGCTTCTAAGAACCAAAGCTACTCTGGATTATGTACTTGAATTTTATAACCATACCACTGCTATGATACTTAAACAGTATTTTGCTTATTTCAGAGTTTAGAGGAACATTTTGGAGATTGCTAAAATTAATGATGCTGTCTGTGAAAAACAAGATATTGAGTTGCAGTAGAAGGGCCTGCCATGTTGAGGTATCCTGAGTTTGGCTAGGCCCAGTCAGAGGTCCCGACCATTCATTCTATGAAGAAGAGGTGGAGGCTTAGGATTCAACCTGAGGTTTTCAGTGTGTAGCCTAACTATTCTAGTCTAACTTTCTTAGAAGCCTGAAACAGTACACTCACTTGCTAACAATACAGAATTTGTTGCTTAGACTACATCAGGGACTTTTTTTATATTTGGGGGGATTCTTAGTTGGTCCTCACTGGGTACTTATTAATAAACTCAGGTACCATTGTCCTTCAGTATTGAAGTATTGCTACAGAAAGCCTTGAGTCTGCCCCTCTGGCTTTGTACGACCCTGTACATGGCAGGCAGGGTTGAGGAATTATACCATGACAGCCTTTTCTCTACCTCAATCCACTTCTGTATGTCCTGGAGCCACCTGTGTGTTGGACCACGTAATTCTACCAGTCCTGAGAGGCAAAGGGGACCATAGTGATCTGGTTCTGGAAGCAGACAACTCGCTTCCTTAGTTGGTGGGACAAAATATGTGATTTCAGCGTCTTAGTTTCTTATGTATACATTAAGATTACTAAAAACAACATCCCTACCTCTGATTATTTTGAGATCTCAACATAGGAAGTATTGCATGAGCTGGCGTTAGTTTTATAATGGCCTTGTAGAGTTCATCTTGGTTGAAGACAAAATAAGGAAACATAACATTGTGGAAGCTGAGGTGCCTGCTGGACTTTGCATAGGGTCAGTACCTTGTGCCTGTGCAGCCAGTTAAGGAGGGCTGGGCTGACCTCCAACTAAAGGAAGAGAGAGCAGCACTGGCCTTGGGACAGACTAGCTACTGCCAGACTTCTGGCCTCTCATGAGTTTCCAAGTCATGAGCTATGGACTCAGCAGACTCAGCTGTAAAGTAGAAGTATGTTTCCTGAGTCACACAGGCTCCATGCTCTGGCAGGGTTCTCTCCAGCCCTCAGTCCTGGAGATGCTTTGACCACTGCTCATGCTACATAACTACCCAGAGTAGTCACAGTCTTTATTTACCTGCGCCCCAGGGCCCGTTAAGCACATGCTACTGAGCAGAACATTCCCCTGCAGCCAGCCTTACCTGCAGCTCAGGAGGTTCATTGTTTAACGGAGTGAAACAAATTATTTAAATCAATTGAATTCAATCTCTTGAATATCCCTGCCCCCTACTCCAGCCATATATATCTGGTTTTGGTAGGATGTAATTGTAGGCTTTATTTATAAAACCTACCCTGCCTCAATTCAAGGCCAAGAGGGTTTTTTGTTTGTTTGTTTGTTTAATTTTTGGTGGCAGGAGCCTGCTCGTGGTCACTATCTTGAATAAAGGACTCTTGTTTAACCTTATATTTTTGGTGGCCATAAATTACTCCCATGGATATTTCACTACAAGCTTTGTCCAGCCCCTGAGCAGGGCTCTTCCTCAGCATGGCGAGACTTGGGCTAGAAGAAAGCAGCAATGGGTCCTTATTCCATGGAGGTTGGGTTAGCAAATTCTCAAGCTTCACATGTTCTCTGACATCTATAGCTGACATCAGAAAACCACAAAGTAGTCCCTGTACTGTACTCATGCAGGAATGGAGTGTCTTAAGGAGATTGTAATGGGTGCTGGGCTTTTATGTAGTCATTTTTACAGTGTTTCCTCAGACTCCTTTATAATGCTAATGGACTGATCTTAAGACAGTTAAACACATGGTGACAGGAACACTGTCAGCCACACCAGTACATGTGTCAGGGATGTAAGTGGAATTTAAGGGAGAAGTAGAGTTCAGGTTTCAAGTCAACAGCAGCTGCTTGTTATTAAGAAGGTGATTTCACGTTCTTTTGTAGTTAGAAGTTTGTCATTTTTAAAGAAAGCGTTTTGGGTTGTCTTCAGTGTTGTAACACTGAACAGTAATCTGGAGCTGGGTGCACCTGAGGCAGAGTATGTAAGGGTTGTATTTGAAGAGGCTTTATAAAACTTTTGTGTTCGTGGTTTTCCTGCATATGAGATTTGGATAATACCACACTCTCATGGAGTTGTTTTGAGAATTCAGTGAAAGGAGGCGGTTCAGTCTTGGAGTGCAGCTCCTCACACGGCTACGTTCAGTTCATGGCGATGCCATTGTCAAATAGAAGCATCCTGAAGTGGGTGGGCGAGAATGTGAAGGCAATGAGTTCGGGAGGGGATAAATCCAACACAAGACTTCCGCCATAGACCCTTTGTCTTTTTCTCTCTTCTCAACAGGAATGAATTCATCTAAAACCAAATTAGAACTCCAGAAGCACCTGACCACACTGACCAATCAGGAGCAGGCAACGATATTTGAGGAAGTTCAGGTACGGTGCACTGTAGCATGTAGCAGGAAAGCACACCCGGCAGCATCCTTGTGGAGTGTCCTGTGGACTGAGTGCTGAGGACTCAGTGCTGTCACCGCCCTGCAGGGGCATGAGCCAGTGTCCTATTACAAAGTGGGCAGACCCGCAGACCAGGAGGCAGAAGGCCTGGGAGTAGGTCCACATGTTCTCCTTTGTTCCTGGGACCCTCTACCAGCCTCTTCCCACGAAGTCACAAGACATTTGTACATGGGTGTAAGCACAATTGTTCCTTCTATATTTTTTGTTGTCTGCTTTGAAAATATATGTGTCATATTATATGTTAGAGTCTTATAAATTGAAACTAAAAGATCAAAACAGACTAAAACCACTGCACACAGAAGCACACTCATGAGCTGTGTGCATTAAACCTGCAAGTCTGTTCTCACCGTTATTGGAGCTGCTGCATCCGGGTAAACCAGGTCACATGTGTCAGCCTGCCCAAGGCCTGCTTGTCAGGAATCTCTAATGAGCTCAACACAGTTTTCATGTCTACCAGAACTTGGAACCATTTTTGTAGGGTTTTTGCACTTTCCAGTGTAGGAGAGTACATTGGGACAAAGGTGTGCGTGTGTGCGTGCATCCACTAGTGCCTTGTCAGGTTCTGCTGTTAGGGGCTGACTAAATCAGACAGGCAGGTAGCCATGCGTTTGTTCTCACCCCCATGTTGGGGAGGGGATGAAAAGGTTCAGCTCTTCTTTCTGTTCTTCACGAAAGTTCTCTGGTTCCCTTGTTCTGTAGGCTTGGCATACATTTGTAGAAAGAATAGGAAGATTTTTGTTGTTGTTGTTTTAATTTTGCAGATGGTCTCGAGGGTTGTTTCACACATTTTATTTGCCTGTACTTTCCTTTTTTTTTTTAATTTTTATTTATTTATTATATGTAAGTACACTGTAGCTGTCTTCAGACGCCCCACAAGAGGGCATCAGATATCATTGCAGATGGTTGTGAGCCACCATGTGGTTGCTGGGATTTGAACTCATGACCTCTGGAAAAGTAGTCAGTGCTCTTAACCACTGAGCCATCTCACCAGCCCTGTACTTTGCTTCTTATTCTTCATGCATTGCTACTGAAGCCAAGGCCATCGATGTGAACCCACTTAGGACATGGTGCTATCAAGTCACTCGGAACACCTTCCTGGCAGGCACGGAAGACACATTTCCCTTCCTTAATGGTTTTCACTTTCATGTAGACAGCACCACAGAGCTTTCCATGAGCAGAGGGGTGATGCCTCAGGAAGGCAGTTCCCCAAAACCTCCTGCAAATGCTCTGTTTGATTTCCTCCTGTGACTAGAGACATTGGAAAGCAGCAGATACTAAAAGTGTACTGGAAAAGCGGGAGTATTGTGATACCACTGCAGGGTACAGTCTAGTGTTCTCCACAGCTCTAGATGTTTGATGGCTCTGAAGAATAGAAGCAGTCATGTTGTTCACGGGCTGAGAAAACCCGCTCATCCTTCACCTTCCTCCGATACAAACGTGGGCTCTTTTTGAGTGATACAAATTTGATCTTCTCTGATGGCGTGTTGATGGTCTTCCTGAATGGCTTTCATGGTTTTTCTAAAATATTTTATAGTCTCAGTCACTAATCAGTGATGGGTGGCTGTCCCTACTAACGTATTTGAAAAATCACATAGATCAAAAAGGTCATATTAAAATGTGATGTAATCTTTCCTGGAGGGTAATTTATGTCTGAAAAACTCTCTCAAAGGCCAATTATTATAAAGCCAGTGTAATTACTACTAACAGTGGTCCATGTGATCTCGTTAGTAATGACGCATATCATACTCAGTGTTCCTTTAGGAGCAAGCTTAAATAATAACCAGGCAAACGGTACTAGAGATGATGGCGGCTGACCCTGAGCCCTCAGGGTACCCAATAGCAGACAGGCTCTGGGTGTTAGCCTGTCCTCTCCTGAAAGACCTCCAGACACCACACAACTACCAGTTTATTTACAAGCTGCTTGACAGGATGTTTCAAACATGAGCAGGGGTCACTCTCTTCTCATGCTGTCCTACTCTTCAAGTGCCTCAGATTGCGTTAGCCATCTTCAGCAGAAATACCTGCTCTCAAGCTGACGTTGCAGCAATGATAGTAAAAACAGTGGCTCAACGTCTTTAGTTAAATACGGGTATGGTGTCCAAGCACAGCATGGCTTAAGTGATGTCCTTGGGACATCTTAAGCTTTTTCAGTGTTTGGATACTTACTGTTGGTGTCAGGGTTTCCTGTTGCTTTTATGGTACTTTAGAGGACCCTTGGAGAAACAAGGTTGAGAAATTAACTTTCGGTACTTTTAGCAAGCAGTTTGGCTGGGTTTGATTATTTAAATTGATGTATAACGTGTCTATAGAAAAGCACACAAATGGATGGTGTATGTGCTGTTGCAGTCAGCACCCAGGTTGAGCACGGAGCCTTTTCTCTGCTGCTGAATGCATCTATCACTGTCCTGGGTATCGCTGCCCCTGGTAACTGCCATCCCAGCTCCTAGCACCTCTGATTGTGAACAAACATGTTGATTATTGACCGAAAATTGATGCTACTCAACCTGATTCATAGTCATTTTTGTGATTGTCACTCTGACTAATGAATGTGAATAAAAATGGAGAAAAGCAGTCGTTTAATCACTGAGGAGAATGGTGACTTTAGGGTGATGACACAGCCCTGATCCTGAGCGTACAGGGAGGATAATGTCTTCATGCTTCACAGTGATTCTGAGGAAGTATTTATTTTTTGACTGTGTGACACTACAGATAATGCATTTCTGCTGCACTGCAGTCATTGCCTGGGGATGATTAGTGGGTTCCCCGGGGGGGGGGGTGTCTCTTGGCTCCTGTGGCAGTGAGAGGCACCTACAATACTCCACTGTGCCTGCTTGTGACTTCATTTTCTGCTGGTTTGAAGCTCTCTCTCCCTCTGTGTGTGTATGCATGAGCACTGCATAGTTCCACTGCGTAGTTCCAGTGATCAGACTCAGGTCAGATGGTTGGCAGCAAGTGCTTTTATTTGCTGAGACTTCTTATCAACCTTAAAACTTGCCACTTGAAGTAACCTTTTTCTGAGGAAATCTGGATTATCAGAAATCTGGATTAAGGGTTCCTTTATCGGTAACACTTGTGACTCTAAGGATAACACCACTGTTCCTTAGTTAGCTGGGAAGAAATTTGCCAATATGGCACTGACGCAGACTCTGCTGCTTGTGGAGTTGATCCACTTGTCACTCCTGACCTGTTAAAGGGCAGGGTACAGCCTGGAGTTAGAGAGGAGCACTGGGCAGTGCCTCTGCTCTGGCAGTAGCAGCAAGGCGGATGGCCAGGAACTCTGTGTCTCTCTGGGGTGATTTGGGCAATTGGTTTTATTTCCATTCACAGAAAGGAATGTATTGAATTAGATGACTTCTAAAAACACTCTGTGGCTGATAATTCCGATCCATAGATTTGGGAGCTGGAGGAGACAGACCACAGGATTTTGTGTGTCCCTATCATTTCAGTTGAGGGGATGCCAGGTGGAGTGAATCGATAACTAAAACCTGCATGTTCTCATTTGTAAAGCAGTGTGCCTTGCCACTGCTAGCAGATTACAAGTCCTTGTGAATTTAAAGAAAGAACGCTAAAGGAGGGGAGAGAAGGCAGAAAGGTAGGGAGAGAGACAAAGAGAAGGAGAAGAGAGGAGAGGAGGACGTGTGAGGACGACTGAGAACTTGGAACACAGGTTTTCATGGAAGTGTCTGCCTCACGGGGATGCCACAGTGCCACATGATGGGCATGTTCACCATGTGACAGTGTGACCCTGGATCCAATTGCTGGGGTCCTTTCTAGGTCCCTAACCTTAAGAGCTTATAAATTTGTGATCATTATGACTCTGGGTGTTTACATAGATTTTGTTTTATCTCTTTTTAAAAGCTGTTTATTTATTAACTATTTTGACTGCCACTATTTGATGTTAAAATTTTTATCTTGGGTAAAAGAACATCAAAGATGACTCCTAAATCTGGCCCAGTGGCCCTGTTCTCTGTTCTTTTAAAAATTGCCTCCGCTCTTTGGGTGATTAGTGCCCCCTAGTGAGATCATTGAGGAAAAGCACTAGTTACTGGGTGGAAGCTGCCTGCACTTTGAGAGGGGATGCCTTAACCGTTTTGTCAACAATTAAAAAGAAATGTAATGTTTATGTTTCTGATTTTTTTTCCAAAAGAAATTGAGACCAAGAAACGAGCAGCGAGAGAATGAATTAATTATTTCTTTTCTGAGGTGTTTGTATGAAGAGAAGCAAAAGGAGCACAGCCACACTGGGGAGCCAAAGCAGGTGAGCACCTTCTGACCCTGGAGCTTTTTATGGGGCTGCTACTGTACACACAGAATCTAGAGGTTCTGGGATAGGCTGAAGCCTCCTCTTCTCCATAGGCTTCATTTTCATTGTTGCACATCTGGAGAAAACAAGGGAATGTTGGTTATGTTTAAAGATGGTGAGAGATACTTCTGAGCCACAGCACGTGGGAGAAGTTGGTCTTTGTTGCCTTCATTCTTTGAATTGAGATTACATTATTTCACAGAAGACACAGAGTCTTTGAATAGTGAAAAAAATGTTTTAAATGTGTACTAGCAGCAGGAATTAGGCCATATTCAAAGAGCGTTCTGTATCCATCATTAGACAGAAGTATAAGGATGCTGCCAGTGCCCTGGAAAGGCATTCTATTGTGTGCTACTGCGAAGGCCATGAACTGTTGCTGTAGATGCTTAGTCCGTGTGACCCAGCAGTGGTGTCCCCGCTATCTCCCTTGCACAACCTTTGATGTGAGTACTTCAGGAGCTGTGAACAAGAGAGTTCACTGCAGCCCCCTTCCCAAGAGCTGGAAGATGGAGTAAATCCTTAATAGCAGGACCAGAAATAGGTTTGTTATACAGTGCACTCCGACTGTACTCTGGCTGAAGTGAGTGAGCCAGGAGCATTTGTGAGCATGGATAAGTACTTTAAAACAATATTAGAAGGAGAAAGACTTGTGTGGTATGGCTGTGTGTGTGTGTGTGTGTGTGTGTGTGTGTGTGTGTGTGTGTTGTTTAAATCGAGACTCCACATATAACAGAAAAAGTGACATTGGTCCTTCTAAGTCTGGGTTATTTCAGTTAACATGATTATCTTTAGTTCCATCCATTTCCTTCAAATGACATAATTTTGTTCGTTTATATGGCTGAATAAAACTCTGTTGTCTGTGTGCACCACCACATTTGCTTTATCCATCCATCTATTGATGGGCATCTAAGCCGATTCTCTTCCCTGCTAATTTGACTAGTGCTGCTGCAGTAACCATGGATGTGCATGCTGGCTTAGAATCCTGTGAGTACATAGCCAAGAGTGGCCTACCTGGGTCATGGGGCTTTTCTCTTTCTAGAATTTGAAGAATCTTCATGCTGACTTCCATAGTGGCTACACTAATTTCCATTCCCAAGACCAATGGCATCTGTTACTTAGGTGTTTGTTCGTATGAAGGGGCAGCAGGGAATGTGCTGGCTGTGCCACACAGCTGGGGACCAGAAGGGGTAGTTCACCTGGCAGTGAGTTCCAGAGCGCCCTGCTCCTCTCATTCCTCAACATCTGGCAGTGCTAACTTGGCCAGACTTGAGTATGGCAAAGGTGTTTGTGTTAGTCTGTACATGTTTCTGAGCACTTGACCTCTGCAAAGAGTGTACTGGTATTTAGAGTGATTGAGAATTTGTTTGCTGGTCTTTTCCTGACAAAACTATCATCTAGCAGAAAGAGTGGTCAGGTGAGGGTCCATGTAAGCAACATAGTGTTGAGACTTGAGGTGTAACTTTGGAAACATACCTCCTTGCTAACAGGTAGCATTACATATTTAGTGGCTGTCAGATTCCACTGTGCTCTGACTTAATGTTATGCATAGCTGAGAGAAGCAGCTTGGTTTCATAGGAAAAAGAACAGAAGAGGGAGGAAAAAAGAGAGTGATTATAAAAAGATATAGAATGGATTCAATTGATAAATTTAATTTGTTACTTAGTCTCTGAAATGCCCTCCTTGGTAAGTTATTGCTTTACTTTTAAAGGTTGGCAAAGTAGGTTTTGTCACAGATCCTATGTTCGGTGCTTTCTGTATTCCCACGTATCGTAGTCTCTTAGCACAGTGATCTCATTAGATAATGGTATCCCAGTTTACTAGAGGAGAAATGCAGGCAGCACAGAGAATGGAAATCTGCACAAGGCCACAGTTGGGGCATCGCAGGTTTCTGATTTAGAAGCTTGAGCGAGCTAGCGGACTGGATTTGAGCACAGTTTCTCATCTCATCTGGGATAGCAGTTGTGCACTCAACTTTCAGGCGTGTTGCTAATGGGCACAGGAGACCCCAGGCTTTCAAGAGGATGGCCCCACAGGTTGTTCCTTCATGTGCACCAAAAGGTAGAAACTTTACTGAACCTAACTTTTCATTGTTTTTCTTTTCCAGACACTGCAGGTGGCAGCAGAGAATATTGGGAGTGAACTGCCACCCAGTGCTAGCCGGTTCAGGTTAGATTCTCTGAAGAACAGAGCAAAGAGGTCCTTAACAGAATCCTTAGAGAGCATTCTGTCCCGGGTACGTAGCATCCTTTCTTCTCACTTAAATCATTTTTTAGCAGAGTCTAAAATTCAACTCTATTTTATGTTTCATCAGACTGAGCAGTAATTATCTAGATACTGTTTATTTTTAGCATTTATTTATTGAAGTAGCGTCACACTGTGTAGTATACCCTGACTTCACACTCCCAATCCTAGTGCCTATGACTCCCAAGTGCTGGGAACTTAGACTTTTTGTCTATCCCATGGGAGTCCCTGCTCCCAAGAGTGTTATTATTTATACAGTTCCTATAAAGAACATGGATTATGTATGCTAAGATATAGGTCCCATATGTTCTGGTGTCCCTAGGGACAACTTCAAAAATTATCCTGTCAGCACCTTTTGTTGGGTATTTGGAACACCCTAGAAGCAGATTCATGAAATATTTGAAGTATGGGCCAAATCCTACCAGTCTCTTCGTTTTCGTAAATAAAGATTACTTTATTTGCACAGTGTCATTCATTCAGTTACTTGTTATCTAAGGCTACATTTGTACAGAATTGAATATTTGTCACAGACGCCACATGACTTACAGATGGTAAGATGCTTATGAAATACTTGCTTTCAAGAGGAAAAAGTTGCCAATCTAGGATTCTCTAAGAATATCCAAGTACACTGAGCATCCGCTGGGAGTTCCCTAGGAAGGTCCAAGTCCATGAGCATCAGCTGGAAGTTCCCGAGGAAAGCATCCTCCTAGCCCATGAGTGTGAACAGCCGTTTGCCACTTCTAACAAATCAAAACTTGATTTTCTGTTAAAGACTCACGTCTCTGGAACTTGCACTTTTTGTTATAGCTCTTCCAGATGTTAGGGCATATTACCTCTGAAACATTAACTTTGTTTTAGTCAGTTAAAGACGACTTTGTCCAATGATATTACTGAAACTTTTCAGAACATCCTTTAAGGTAATTCAAAACAGACGAATTATAAAACCAAGACTGAAAGGGCTTGCCTTTGAGAGTTCCCAGAGGGATGCAGGTTGATTGAGTGACACCCAGGTAACCAGTTATGATTGCCCACAACTCAAGAAGGAGCTATTGAGTGTGCTTTGGGGATCATGATAGATGTATTGGCCATTCTTCCTGTCTGTCATCCCCAGCAAGTGACTGATCCATGGGGCTCTATGGATCATCTAGGTTGGCATGATTTTTAAAATGATGACAGAAATGTGATGGTTAATGCAGGAATGTGCTTATCAGTGAGTTCATTTTCTGGGCTTAATTAAGAAGGCCAGGCTGCTTGCAGGTGATGATGACTCTGGGGCTGTGTCTCAACTGCCTTCTCCTTCTGTAGGGTAATAAGGCCCGGGGCCTGCAGGACCATTCCGCCAGTGTGGATCTGGACAGTTCCACGTCTAGTACTCTCAGTAACACCAGCAAAGTAAGCCTATTTCTCTTTCAGTGGTACCCTGAAGATCCAGCCAACAGGCCTGCCTATCTGGAATCTACACAGCCATCAGGACATAAAAGCCCATGTCCCTCTAGTCCTAAAACACTTAGTGTTTCCAGACTTTTCTACACAAGTGGAGGGTGAGCCATGTGAAAAGTTTTAAATAAAAAGGCAAATAACTATTCCTATAAACAGAGAATCAAGATCATATTTTCTTAGACAGATGAGACCTAACCTATAACAACCATGGGCTTCTTATCCAAAGTAGATTTTGCAATAATAAAAGATGGAGAGAGCTTCAGCGGTGGGAGTGGGTTGTGCAGCATAAATCCCTGAGACTATGTCCCATAGCTGACCCCGTGACTGTGAGAAAACACGATTGTCTCTTTAAATAAGCAGCCAAGCCTTACCCCCGTGGTCTGCTGCAGAGCTCAGGTATGAGTTGCCTGACAGTCTTCTGTGGTGACACACCTGCTGTGTCCACTTGCTTTCCTAGCTTGTTCCAGAGACATTTCCACATGACTGGACCTGGTTTGTTTAACCCTAGGACTCCCAAGAAATAAATCTGAGGTTTGTTGTTCAGGAGGCAGCCTTCCTCCATATTGTCAGCATGCTCTGATGCAAATGTGGATGCTTGTGAGCTCCAGCCCCTCACCAGAGCTCCGTCCTAGACTTGTAGTTTGCAGAGGCTCCAGCCCCTCACCAGAGCTCCGTCCTAGACTTGTAGTTTGCAGAGGCTTCAAATCCTACTCAACAATAAGAAAGACATTTAACATGTGACGTAGTTTGCAAATACACATAACCCTCCCACACGAAATGAAAATGAGTTAAAATGAAATTACTCTCTGGATAATGGGCTGCATACACTGTTATTTTCTGCTCATTTATTTTTGAAATGCTCCTGGCAAGCCACTAAGTTGATATTACTGCCTACTGGTGTGTGTAGTAAGTGGTCTGAGTCTCATTCCTTTAGATGAGCATGACTCAGACTTTAAGCTGCATCTGCACTTCACTTGTTCTGGGTGGGATCTCAGTGCTGACTCCGCTAAGCAGTTAGGTGATGTCGCTGCTCCTGCTGGTTTTGTAGACCGGCGTTGTGCAGTAAGACCTGGAAGCCGGTCTTCTCTATGTGGTTTTCTAAGTTAAGACACAGCAGGCCACATCATCATCCAGCCTCCACAGGACACACACTGATCGTACCTCACTATTCAAGTGTACAAATGTCATGTGCTGCTGGTTGCCTATTGTAAAAAGATGGCTAGGTCCACAGGTGAGAAAGGACAGTTGAACAAGTAAACCCCACATGACGGGGAGTGTGATGAGAGTTTCAACAACAGATATTGGTGGCTTAGACCTCACAGGAGCGTGGGGAAGAGGTGTAGTTTGGCAGTAGAAAGCTTAGAGAAGGGAAGGGTGCTGATGCTATGAATTAAATCTTGCTGAAAGTATGGAAATTGTGCTGAGGAAGAAAGCCAGGGAGAAGGATTTTGATAGCTTGGTGTCAATTGTGACGTTCTTAAGACTCCCATCCTTTGTTTTTATGTGTCCCCTCATCCCTTTTCTGGTCTTGTACCTAGCTCAGGCTGACCTTGATGTGTATCCTAAGCTGGCCCAGAACTCCTGATCCTCCGGCCTCTGCTTCCTAGGAGCAGAAATTATGGGCATGACCACCAAGGTTGACTTGTTAGGATTCTTGATGAATGTTTGAGCATCCAGTAAGGAGGGAGTACTTAATGAAACTTGAGCTTATTTCTGTAGCATTAGACACACTGCAAACCACTTTAACGTCTCATCTTGCTTAATTCAAGAAATGGTGCAGTGACTTTTCACTGTACTCTTAGGACAGTGAAATGCAGCAAGAAGTTAAATGATTTCCCCTGAATTATGACAAGTCACATGTGACGGACATGTTTCTACTCCAGGAAGAATATAGGGTATAGTTTTAGCATCAAGACTGCCAAGTTAAATCTCAATATTAGATCAGAGTCAGAAAGAGCCCTGAACTGTGGGTAAACATCCATAAGCATACTTTGTAAAGATAGAGAAGTTGGCTAAGTGGTGCAAACTCTCTATACAATACCATACTTTGTAGAAGCCTGTGAAAAGACTGTTCTCTCTAGTGAGCAATCTGTTCATGGTATTTGAGAAGCCAGTGTTACAGCTTGTGAACTTCGTTACAGCTTGTAAACTTCGTTATTATATTTGGAACTTTCCCCATGTCTGCAGGAAGCAAGAACCTGTCTCTGACAAGCAGGTGTTAATGTAACAGCCTTAGTACCCTTATATCTCTGGTAACCTCTAGATGACATTCTAATCAGACAGTCCTACGAATTTAATGTTTCTGTGTGCTTAGATTGCCTGTCCCCCATCCCCCTGTCACATATCTAATCTGCCATCTGTCTGCTATTAGGAGCTGTCCATGGGTGACAAGGAGGCCTTGCCCATCTCCGAGAGCTCCTTCAAGCTCCTTGGCTCCTCAGATGACCTGTCCAGTGACTCAGAGAGCCACATTGCAGAAGAGTCTGCTCTGTTGTCACCCCAGCAGGCATTCAGAAGGAGAGCCAACACCCTGAGTCATTTCCCAGTAGACTGCCCTGTGCCTCCAGAACCTGCCCAGAGCTCTCCAGGGGTCTCTCAGAGGAAACTCATGCGGTATCACTCCGTGAGCACAGAGACGCCTCATGAACGCAAGTAAGAGTTGCTTAAAGTGTCATATGTATTGTATATGCTGAATACACTTTTTAGGCAAAAGAATAATCCAAGCCAGGTTTGACCCTTGGCTTCAAGATAAAACTTGAAGCAGTGTCAAGTTCTTCCTGGCTCCTGCTGGAAGTGTGTAGAGGTAGGTGCAAGCATTGTTAGCAAGCCTGTAGACAGAAGCAAAAATGGTCCTTATGTGTCAGTAAGTCCATAATGCATGAGATGTTGTCTTTGGAACTTGGCTGCTGGTCTTGGGAAAGGTGGCATGTGGGTGTGAATGGAGTTTCCTCCTTTGGATACCTAGATCTGGACTGTGGTGGGATGGGGACACCATGTCCATACAAGCAGGGTGGCAAAGCTGTGCTGTGTAAGTCCATGATGACACCCAGAAACCTGGGTACTGGACCTGGCTGTCTTGATCTAGATGAAACCTGGGCATATCTGATAACTGGCTCTGTTTAATAGAATCAGAGTTGATACTTTCTGAAATCTGTCACTGTGGGAATTCTAGATCCAACACTCACTCCTTGTCTTAGGTAGGGTTTCTATGGCTATGATGAAACACCATGACCAAAGGCAAGCTGGGGTGGAAAGGGCTATTTTGCCTTACACTTCCACATCATAGTCCATTATTGAAGATAAACTGGGGGCTCCTGAGGGAGCCAGGAACTCACACAGTAGGAACCTGGAGGTAGGAGCTGATGCAGAGGCAGAGGAGTGCTGCTTACTGGCTTGCTCCTCATAGCTTGCCCAGCCTGCTTTCTTAAAGAACCCAAGGCCGCCAGGCCAGCTCAGGGACGACACCACCCACAATGGTCTGGGCCCTCCCTCTTCAGTCACTGATTAAGAAAGCACTCTACAGGCTTGCCTATAGCCAGATCTTATGAAGGCATTTTCTCAGCTGAGGCTCCCTGCTCTTTGATGACTCTAGCTAGTGTCAAATTGACATAAAACCAGCCAGCACATTGCACTTAAGAATTCGGCTCAAATAAACAGTTAAACCTTTCAGGCTATAGAGAAGCATAAACAATGTGGTGGGAAAATCTTTCCTTTTATTTTTCTGGATCTGTTAGTGACCAACCCCAAGTGCCAGAAACTGTGAGCAGTCCCCAAATTATCCTTTAAAATATGTTTAAAAATGGGGCCATACCCATGTATGGTAGCAGCAGCCTCCCACTGGCTGGTGACAGCAGAAGCTGGGAACGTGTGTGTGTCCATGTGACTTGTACCAGGTACAGTCATTTGAGTCAGTGCAGTGACTGGTATTTGACATGTGTGGAGGGAAAGTGTGACGTGTCCTAATAGTTGTCAGCCACACACAGAGCCGTCAGCTTTGTCTCCCTAGACCACTCATCGGGAATCATCCTCGGTTCTTTGGAGTTGGCCGTGGTGACTGATGGCAGGGGAGACCTTCCTCCAGGGTTTGTTAACAAGTCTGATGGTTCTGAGACAAGCACAGCTTAGCTGTAGTGTGACAAGCTCCCCGCTTTCCAGCACCCTGTGAGCACACTGCTCCGCATCCTGGCTGTGTGCCACCCCCTCTCTCTGGCAGTTTTAGTGCTGGTAGAAACATTCCTACCAGAAATGCTCCAGTTGTGTGCCAGTCCTCAGGTGGGAGGATCGAGTGCTGAGAGTCACCGCTTTTCCTCTCTCCCTAAGATACAGCTCTGTCAGGGGCTGGGATGGACCACTGGGAGGGTGGGGACATGTCCACCTTTTGCATATTCATTTTTCTTGCTCTCTTGTGAACTTTCCTCCTCAGTCTATAGGAAACAGAACTTTGAAATACAGGGCAAGATGTCCTGAAAGGAAAGGGAAAGGTGACTTCTAAATTTTGGATTCTTTTCTTTTCTTCTTCTTTTTTTTTTGTTTGTTTGTTTGTTCTTTTGGGGGGTTGTTTTGTTTTGTTTTGTTTTTGGTTTCATTGTAGTTCCTTTTTCTTCTTCTTCTTTTTTTCTTGGATATTTTATTTACATTCCAGATGCCATCTCATTTTCCCTCCCTAGAAATTCCCTATCCCATCCCCCCTCCTCCTTTTTGCTTTATACCATTTTAATTACATGCAAGTATTAAGGTCAGTTCTAGGTTATTTTATCCGTCTAAAATTTTATCCAGCAAGGGAATAGAGCAGAAGGTATTACTGGAAGCATAGAGCCGAGCCAGGACCTGACAGTGTTCGTCCCTGGCAGCAGTCCCCGGCTGCCGATTGCTGTAGACACTCAGCAAAGCCTGTGTTCTCTGTTTCTGTCCTCCCTTTGAGTGTGCCCTGTTCCCTCTAATCCCACTTTCTCTGATTGCTGTTTAGTGCGGACCATCTTCCTGGGGGCGAGTCTCAGTGCTGCCCAGGGCAGCCTTCAGCTCTGCCTCGTCTTAACCCCTCCGCCTCCTCACCAAACTTTTTTAAGTACCTAAAACATAGTTCCGGTGGAGAACAAAGTGGGAATGCTGTGCCAAAGAGGTGAGCACACTCGCATGGCAAGTTGAGTGTTGTCTGTGTGCCAAGCATCCACACTGAGTCAGCCTAGCCGCATGGGGGCTGTCCCTGCAGGAAGCCCGACACCGCTTGTGTGGGGGGCTTTTTGGTGTCATTTGGGTTTGCTATTTTCAGCTGTCCTTTGAAATGACTTAATTTTACTGTTAGTTTTCGTTAAGCTATTGTGAAGAATCACAGTGTAAACTGCTGTAACACTTAACTTCACATCCCTTGACCTTTCTGTGAGCACACACATGCATGCGCAGGCTAACAGCTGTGTTTGTATACACTGTACTCTGTACCTTGTCAGAAAGCTTCTGATTCATTTAGATAAGTGTGGCATGTGGAGGGTAGTGTTTTTTTTTTTTTAATTTAATTTATTGACAGAAAACGCGAGTTAGTTTCAGTTACAAAATATTTTACATGTCTCACCTGGTTTACTTCTTAGCATCACAGTGAAGGGCTCTCCTTTTTAAGCTTAGAGTGTTTACTTTGTGTGTTTATATTTCTTTATCCTAAACTCTTTTTTAACCAAACTCTTAGTGTCTCCTACCGTAATGCCCTGCGGAAAAAACTCCATTCTTCCTCCTCTGTGCCAAATTTTCTAAAATTTCTGGCTCCTGTAGATGAAAATAACACCTGTGACTTTAAGAACACGAACAGGTAGGGCTCCATTTAAATGTGTCAGGTCTGGATGCGCTGAGTGCTGAGTTGTTTGATAGATGGGACATTTCTGCTGCTCTTCTGCCATTTGGAACACTAGCTAAGCCCATTGTGTCGCCTTCTTAAGCCATGTCTCCTCATCCGTGCCCTTTGTAAAGCAGGCAGCCACCTTCGGTTTGCATAGGACTGGTTTGCTGAAGTTGTTACCCTCAGAAGAGTAAAGAGTCATGGTTCTGTAGGGTTGAAGGACAGTAGCCTGTGCCTGTCCTCGCAGGGTCAACAGTCCAGTCTGCCAGGTGTGATGCCTGGCTCACTGTGGGGCATACTGAGTGTGAATTGCAAGGAGCTGCTCAAAGTCTCTTGTGAGTGGAAAGAAAATGAATGAGCTATTTATATATTAACAATTATACTTTGTTTTATAGTTTTACAGCTAAAGGTTTTAAAGTAGGCATCATCACCATCAGTGATTGTATCCTTAGTTCCTTGATGGTTCCCTAATTAAATTATAGCTGCTTTTCTGTTTTAGTGTACATGAATGGGGGTGAGGGAGGGGCGGCAGGAAGGGTTGGGGGTGGTGTGGATGTGTGTGCTGTGTAGGTGTGATCTGGGTATGGATGTGTGGTGTGGATGTATGCTATGCTGTGTGTGGTTTGTGCTCTGTGTGTGTGTGTGTGTGTGTGTGTGTGTGAGAGAGAGAGAGAGAGAGAGAGAGAGAGAGAGCGCTTGATTGATTGATTGATTGATTGATCTGTGGTAACCATGGAGATACAGGCTGGGGCTAAAGAGAGCAGTTCCACATGATGGCTAGTATGGATTGTGGTTCTGGTGACAGTGCCCCAGCTAGGTCATTTTTCTCTTTTGAAGTAACACCCAGAAAGGCCCAGTTGGAAGCTATAGTCTATGGAACATACTTCTCAAATATCTTTTATGATAGCAGTGGTACAGGGCTTGTGAACTTGTTCTTTTCACAGTGTCCTTTAAGAATACTGACCCACTGTGACTCTGATTTAGCTTCTGTGACTATCAAGTGATCTGTTTATGGAAAGATATAGTCAGCTGAACTATAACTCTGATGCCTCCCCACCACTTATGAATCAGCCGTCTTGCCATTTTAGGGACTTTGAATCCAAAGCAAACCACCTGGGTGACACAGATGGAACCCCCGTGAAGACCCGGCGGCATTCATGGAGACAGCAGATATTTCTCCGAGTGGCCACTCCACAGAAGGCTTGTGATTCCCCAAGCAGATATGAAGGTAAGGCCACTGTTCACTCCTCATGAACACCACAGAGATTGTGGACGTCCTGCTACTGGGAGGGAAGTAGAACATGGGCCATTTGGCTAGAATGTCACAGGCAGTCTCTGAGATGAAATTAAGGAAGGACAGAAAGGTCACTTAGGACCCTGCTCAGCAGTGGCAGCAGCACTTTAACATCTCAGACAGGGACGAGAGAGGCCCTGGAGCCCTTCCTTATTCAAACTCTACTTCTCCCCAGAGAGAACTTCATGCTGGATGGAGCTCTCAGAGTAGCCTAGGCTTACGACGTTTGCCACACCTAGATAAGGGAGCAGACTACTAATTAGAACCTTTTCTATGTGGGTGTGTGGTGTTGAGATGGGGTCTCACTGTGTGGCCCTGGCTGGCCTGTGACTCTATATAGACCAGGCTGGCTTTGAACTCAGAGAGATCCACCTGCCTCTGCTTCCCAAGAGCTGGGATTAAAGTGTATCCCATCGCTCCTGCAAGTATTTAAAATTCATGATATGAGAAAGAAAATCATGAAGTATAGGTAGAAAACAACCCCAGTGGTTCCTTGTACAGCTCAGATGCTCCATGATTGTCCATTCTGTGTTTACACTCCACACTCCAGGAGTCCAATCTTGAGCTACACTGAGAGGGAAACCTTACTGCTTCCTTAAGTAAAAGAACAAGGCAGGGACATCTCACACCATTCCTTGCTCCTGACACAAGCCTGAAGTCATTTTAAAAACGTGGTGTTTGCTGTTCAGTGGTGTACTACTGCAAGAGCAGTGGTGTGGTCTGTGAACTAGGGCTTCTGATATTATGTCTGAGCCAAATCCTGGGGAAAGCTATTAGTTTTTAAGGACAGTATTCATAAAATAAGGGGAAATAGAATGTGAACAGTGAGGTAGTGGTGAAGAGGTTAGACTGGACAAATACTATCATAAGAAACGTATCTAAGGAGGGGTTACATTGTACTTACAAATTCACTGTCTAATAAAGCTAGGGAAACAACTTCAAATGTGTCTGTCTCCCACCTGTGCTATAGATAGAACCAGGTCTTTGCACATGTCAGTCACATCATGACGTAAGATGCTAAAAGCTGCTTGGTGGCTTAAATATAAAGTCCAGGGCTTACTGATGCACCCACATGGTGGTGGCTGCTTACCATTGTTGTCTCTGAAACCCAGGAAAGCCACTGGCTCTCTGTATGAGGACTCGTGGCACTGAGCATTTGGAAGGACCATACTTGGTAAAGTATTCACTCCATCCCGAGTGGTACCGCAAGAGTGCTAGTAAATCAGAGCAGCGCTGTGGTAGGCTGGGTGTGTTCAGGAATTAGTCCGAGGGCATGGCTGAGGGCACACAGACACACTGGCTTCTCTGAGTAGAGGACAGAGATGCTCCACCTTCAAATTAAGTCTCTGGTTTGAAGACTGTTGTTCCTACCATAGACAAATGGGTGGTGGTGCACTTGTCCCTGGGCAAAGTTGTACACACACTTGTCTCCTAATTGGCTTGTTCATTCATGGATCAGCATGGATTTCACCAGCTTTAATGAGATTGGGGTCCTTTGGTGATCTTGTTGAAAGGTGGATTGTTGAGGTGGGACCAGTTGCATCCCAAGCTCTTCCTCCATTTCTGAAAGTCTTTCTTTCCCACTGATACTGATGTGAATAGTCCATTTTGAGTAGTTAAGGCTTAGAGTAAGCAGCCACAGTGGGTATGATCTGGGTCTTCCAGGCATAGCTAGTCTCTCTGTGAGACTGCTCTGGGTCTCTTCAGTCTACACTCAGGTCTCCAAGGTCTAAGAGCCTCCAATAATCTTGGTTCTTTCTCAGTGACTTTCTTGTTTTCTTTGTGGTGGCAGGAATGAAGACAGGGCCTCCTGCCTGCTGGGCCAGTGTTCCACCGCTGAGCTGCCAGTGACCTTAGATGAGAAGGGGTATGTGTGTAAGGAAGCGGGGTGCAATGGGAACCGTGATATGGAGTAAGAGGGTAAACACAGACCTGGGAAAGCTGCTGTCTGCCCTCGTCCTCTGCAGGTGGACTTTGCCCTGGGCTCTGCTCCAGAGATGCACTGTCTACACAAGTATGCTTTCCTCACCTAATTGTCAGGACAGGATAGGATGCTAGAAACCAGCTTTTAAAGACCATCTGTGGTGCGTGTCCTCCAGTTTCATTTCTCAGCATGTCATACCGACGAGAACGCTTCTTCGTTATGAAATACGTTTTGGGCAGCCCTCTCTCCACTGGAACGGAGAGGATCTTTCTGTTGTGTTTGTGCCAGGGAGCAGTTTCAGTCTTCATCTTGTTCTTTTCATTTAAGCATTTCACATCGCAGTGTGCATTTCACCAAAGATAGTGCCCTCAGATTCTGACGTGTCTTGAAAAGGGGAAGGAAACTCTTTTTGGCATAAATAAGAGTGATTTATTGACTTGAAACCCATTGTGTGAGTATATAGTCCAGTAAGTTTTTTTGTTTTTGTTTTGAGGGGTTTTTTTTTTGGTTTGTTTGTTTTGTTTGTTTTTGTTTTTTTGGTTTTGGCTTGTGAGTATAGGTTGGTCAACCCACCCTACTTAAAGCATGAAGAACTTCAGGTTAGGTAACACATGAACTGAGATGTAAACAGTTAAGGCCAAACTAAAGCACGTAGGGATCATCAGTGTGACTTCTGTGTCACTGTGAGAAAGGTAGGAAGCATTTAGTGACTGATTTGTTTTCAAGAATTTATGTACACTGGGGAGATTTTAATGGCTAACATAACTGAAATAAGGCAAACACCATATCCATCTCTGCACAAGAATTTTCTCTTGATCAGGGGTGTGTCTTTCACTGGGCATCACAGCCATTTGGGGATTTGTTGTTGAGACTAGGTCAGCCCCCTTGAACTCACTGTATAGCTGATGCTGCCTTTGAACTCCTTCCTGATTCTCCCTCCACTTCTGAGTGCTGAAATGCCACAGGTGTGCCTCCGTGCCTGGTTTTTGTTGGTGGTAGCTTGTCTTCCCGGTTTTTGTTTTGTTTTTTAATGTTTTTTGTTGGACTACAGGCTACATGCCTGTGGGGCAAGTACTGTACCAGCTGAACTTTCTCCCTGGTCTTCCTGGGGAGATTCTTAAATCCCCAGGCTGGCCCTATCCTCCCATTCCCCAGTCAAGGTCAGACTCATGTGGGTGCTTTTCCTTTCAGAAGCTCTCAGGGATTGGGATTGCTGCCACATCAGGACCAGTCAACCTCGGTGACTGGAGAGCACCACTGGGTGGCAGTGTTTCTCCCTGCTCTTGGTGGCTCTGCTGTCCTAGTCCCAAGGAAGACTTGCTTCCTTCCCCAGTTCTGTTTGAGTTAATGTAGTTGTACTTCTGCCCACTTGCAACTTCTCTGAATAGGGAGTTGTGATTTCTGCAGGACTTTATGGGAAGGGTCTCTCTTTCTCCAGGATTTTATGGCAAGGGCAACAGCAGATAGTGTCAGTTGACGATGTGATTTTTTTTTTTTTTAATTACTCCTTTTGGAGATGGGGTCTGGCTCTGTAGGGCTTACTCGGAAACCTCTGCCATAGCCTCCTATATACTGGGGTTTCAGGCATGTGCCACATCCCCTGGCAAGATTGGGTTTTGTTCATTTTTTTTTTTTCCTGGTTTTTCGAGACAGGGTTTCTCTGTGTAGCCCTGGCTGTCCTGGAACTCACTCTGTAGACCAGGCTGGCCTCGAACTCAGAAATCTGCCTGCCTCTGCCTCCTAAGTGCTGGGATTAAAGGCATGTGCCACCACTGCCCGGCTGGTTTTGTTCAATTTTATTTAACTTTGCTTTTCTGTGGTGAATAAAGACCTATTTTGAAATGGAGTTTTTTCAAGCCAAGGATTTGATTGTTCATGTGAACTTTTTTTGTGTATTTGTTTGGGCTTTGTTTTGTGTGTGTGTATGTATGTGTTGTCCTTGGCATATCATTCCAGAATCCACTGTGACTGGCCTTGGCTGGCTGCTCCTGCGTTTGTTAACACTGCTAAGCCAACCCTGTCAGCTTTTCCTGATGTGCCTCTGGAATTCAAACAGCAAGTTCTTCCACTTTGTGAAGTGATCTGAAAATCTCGTCACCCTGACCACTTCTGCTTGCTAGCAAGACTTAGGGAACAGAACTGAGGCTTCTATCCTGCATCGCAGGAGCTGGATGTCCTGAGAGTCAGGTGACCATGACTTGATTGCAGCACCCAGCTGGCAGGGACTTCCTTCTTTGGGTCAAGTGACTGCTCAGAGCATGCATGTGTGCCCAGGACAAAGTCCAAAGTGGAGAGTTTTCATTTGTCCTTCTAATTTTTAATTTTGAGGTGAGGACAGGGGCTTACATAGTCCATACTAGTCTTGAACTCTGTGCAGTTAAGGCTGGCTTTGAACTCCAATCCTGTGAGTACTGGCATTAGAGATGTACTTTTGTTTTGTTTTGTTTTAAAGATTTATTTATTTTATTTATGAGTACACTGTACCTGTCTTCAGACACACCAGAAGAGGGCATCGAATCTCATTATGGGTGGTTGTGAGCCACCATGTGGTTGCTGGGATTTGAACTCAGGACCTCTGGAAGAGCAGTCAGTGCTCTTAACCACTGAGCCATCTCTCCAGCCCGAGATGTACTTTTCTTATCTAGCTTGGTTTGTTACCGTTAAAGGTTTTAGCAAGCTGTTGAAGTGTTTAAGACTGTGGCAAGAAGTTTACAGTGTTTTCAGGAGAATCAAATCTATGGACTTAGTGAAGTCTGGGTGTGCCCAGCAGGGTGCACAGAGGCTCCATGTCCTGCAGGGACTGTCCTGTACCACAGCTGCCCTAGGGTGAATGTCTTCTGACATTTGATACTGCACCAGCCTGCTGGCCTCTGAAGCTGTATACCCTATAGCCTCCTTAGATACAGGGATGGCCCTGAAGGGGAGGAGTCTTTCTTTGGAAAAAACAGTTTGTTTAATTTTACTTGAAAAGCAACTCTATTGAGATATAGTTTGTATACTGTACAAATCA